GGGAAGGTGTTCACAGTTCCATTTTCTACTACCCAGATTTGACTCTTTTCTTCATCCTCACAAACACGTGATATGAGCCTGGAATCATGACTGACCAGGACAACTCCACCAATAAACTCATCGAGTGCAGCAGCCAAAGCATCGATGCTCTGCATGTCCAAATGATTCGTGGGCTCATCCAATAGCAATATGTGTGGTTTTGACATAGAAATTGACGTGAAGACAACCCTGGCTTTCTGTCCTCCAGACAATTTTGCAATAGGCGTAAGGTGATTATGGCTGGGAAGTCCAAACTTCCCAAGTTTTGCCCGAACAGCCTCCTGCTTGCTAAATCCCTCTTGATCTGGATGAAGACGGAGAAGATACTGCACCGGTGTCTCCTCCATTGTCAGTAGATCTACAAAGTGTTGCGAATACCTGCCAATCCTCAATTTCTGACTTCTTCTTACTTCACCTTCAGTTGGAACTAAATCACCAGCAAGAAGATTCAAAAGAGTAGATTTTCCAGCTCCATTAGGTCCAACAATAGCAACACGAGTTCCCATATCAATACCCAAATCAATATCTGAAAGCCTAAAATCCTTCCGATTCGGATAACTGAAGCTTACATTTATTAGCTGCAAAAGAGGTGGTGTCAGCTCAGTTGGTTCAGGGAAGTGGAACTCCACACTATAATCTCTCCACTTCTTTGGGGCCTCTGGTGGTGGTTCGTCATCATCAGCCTTTCCCTTAGCCTTGTTCTTTGCTGCTTCCTTGGCTGCAGCAAACTTAGCTCTATCTTTCACCTTCTTCTGTTGAACCTGATCCCCTGACCTTTTAGCTGCTTTCTCCTGCTTCACATAAATCTCAAACCTCTTATTTGTCTCTTTACGACGTTGCTCATAACCTGCTTCAAAATCATCAAAGTTCCCTCGGTAGAAATGAAGCTTGAAATCATGTAGATGAATGATTTCAGTGCAAACTGTGTTAAGAAAATCTCGATCATGTGAAACAACTATCAGTGTTTTCTTCCATCGGCATAAGTACTCCTCCAACCATAGAACTGCCCTAAGGTCTAGATGATTAGTGGGTTCATCCAACAACAAAAGAGTTGGCTGCACAAAAAGTGCCCTGGCAAGAGAAATTCTCATCCTCCAGCCACCACTGAATGACCGAGTAGGGCGATTTTGCATTTCCTTGGTAAAACCCAATCCAGCAAGAATCTTTGAAGCCTGTGCCTCAGCAGCATCTGACCCTAAAACCTGCAATTTCTCATACAGTTCAGCAAGCTTTTCCCCTGTATCATCCCCATTTACATCGTCATTAGCCTCCCCTCCAGCAATAGAAGATGAATTCTGCAAAGCTGCAACTTCTTCTCGGAGTTTGACCAGCTCTTCATTAGCAGAGACAACTGCCTGAAGTGCACTTCTGTCATCACCAGCTACCTCTTGTTCAACCAGAAGCACATCAATATTTTTTGGCACTGGAATCTTCCTCCAAGCAAGAAGTTTTAACAAAGTAGACTTCCCCGTCCCGTTTGGCCCAACCAAGCCATATCGCTTCCCATGAGATATCTTCACTGATGCGTTCTTCAGAAGTTCTTTCCCACGAGCTGATACAGAGAAATTCTCTACTGTTATATCCCTAACATTAGCACCTGCTTCATCCTCACCATCAAGGACGGAAGCTCGACTACCAATAACAACAGTGAAAGCATCACGATCGTCTTTAAGGGCCTCCTGTTTTGCCAGCTCTGCAGCTTGAACTGCAAACATTTCCTTCTTCTCTCTTTTCTTCAATTCTTTGTCACTTATAGAGGTATCAAGCGGTTTTCTGTCATTCCTCTGCTGTCTATCATGTCGTTTCTTGAGGTTAGCCTGTTGCTGTTCTTCCTCATCATCCTCACCATCAGAAGGTGGAAGGTCAATCCCATCAGTATAAGATGGAACAGCCTTTAACTTGGGTTTACCAGAAGCAGCACTCGAAGAGGAGGAACCCTTTCTAGGTTTATCAGGTTCCTCGTCCATGCTGGCAAGAATGGCTAAGACTGAGAATTTCTCCTTCTTTCCATCTTTAGAAATATCCTTGTTGCTCCCCTTAACCTTTGTGGCTGCACCCACATCCTCGTTTTTCTTTCCCATTGCAACAAATACCCTTTAACAGAAACAAAATTCACAATAAGAAAATTATCAACTTGTCCAACTGTAAATGTAGAAAGAAATGAATAAATACAGCACAGTAGAGGTACTTGGGACAGGCAATGTATAAACCTTAAATCAGATTGAATTCAACCCAAGTACTAACACCACTTTAACATCAACAGAATAATCATGATTTCAAAAAAATTTTATCCAATAAAATCAAATAAAACTTGGGAATCCATATTAAATGAATTTTGAAAATTTTCTAAAGGAAAACACAGCCTAGAACATAAAAATTCAATCCTAATTCCAAAAGAACAGGTTAAACAAGATCTCTGGAATGAAAAGAATAGAGGGAAGAAGAGAATACCGGAATCTGAGATGAAGAACAGAGTGAGTAGCGTAGGATGTAAAAATAACGCAAGGAGTTTGTGGGCTGGACAAGTTCCAAGAAAAGAATGGAACTTTATATATACCAATACCAAGGCTTCATCTTGGGCCTTACTTCCTGAGTCGGTTACCCATTTGGATTAGGACTCGGTTCGGTTTTTTTCCTTCCCTTTTTCAATATGGGAAGTGGCGAAAAGAGTTTCCTGCTATGGTAGTCCCAACGCTCTTACTGTGTCTAATCTCAAGTTCTCAGCCCAGCTCTACAGCCTTCCTTTTCAAAACGAGGGTGGCTATGTCGCTTACGGAGCTCGATGACCAGACGGTGCGCAGCATGTCAATCGGTGCAGTTTTCTCCGACTTCGTATGGTTTCATCTCACCTTCATCGATTTTACCCTTTTCTAATTCAATTTTAATTTAATTTTCAAGAAATTTTGTTTTGAAATTTTCGATTTGTGAAAGCTTCTAGTTTTGTTTGCTATAATTTCAGGGAGGAAAGATAAATTCGCTTGATTTTCATAGAAAGGACGATTTGTTGATTACTGCCAGTGAGGATGATTCGGTTCGGCTTTTTGACATTGCCACTGCTAAGTCAGTTTTCAACTCTTCTTGTTTATTTTCTTAATAGAAGCCCAAAAAAAAAAAAAAAAACCCATATTGAAAAGATTGTATTTTTATTATTTTCTGTTGTGTATTTCAGAATTTTGAAGACCACTTACCATAAGAAACATGGGGCGGATCGTATATGCTTCACCCACCATCCCAGTTCTGTTATATGTTCTTCCAGATACAATTTGGATTCTAACGCAGGTGATTAGTCTGCTCTTATTACTAAGTAGAATATTTCATGATGGTGATTTATTGCTTGATTGCATTTTTTTTCATTTTTTGGAGAAAATGTAACTGTTTATTGGTGGTTTCTTGTGCCAGAGTCATTGCGATATTTGTCCATGTATGATAATAGATGCCTTCGCTACTTCAAAGGGCATAAAGAAAGGTCAGCATCCCATGATTCTGCTGTACAGTGGGTTTAAGCAAAGGAAGTGGTTTAGTTTGTGTTAAATAGTAGTTATGGACTTATTATGCATATTAGGCTCCAAGATCTGATAATGCAATGTTTACTTGTTTTGGTTGCTATGTTGGTAGTCCTAGATGTGTCTTACATGCACATACATGCATCACTTACATATTTTTATGGTGCCGCCCTGCGTTCTTTCACTTCATTTTTCCTTCTTTGCCTGAACGATTTGTTATTTTATTTTTAATTGTCTTCTGTTTCGAGTTTCAATTTATTGTGAACTAATTACTCTCCTCAAATTTTCTGCTGTAGAGTTGTTTCTCTCTGTATGTCTCCTATAAATGATAGCTTCATGTCAGGATCTCTTGACCACACTGTGAGAATATGGGATCTTCGTGTAAATGCCTGCCAGGTTGGTTTCTCTGGCAAATTAAAGAATCTAGGTTAGTTGAAACATGCATCTATGTATACTCCGTCTCTACCTCTCACCCTCACCCAATCCTTACATCAGCACACATAGCAGAGAGAATGCTGTGAAATTGGAGTACTGTGTTGGATCATAAGTGGAATACATAATTCTATGTGAAATGTATAAAAATATTTGCTAAATAAGGAGGATTTGTCATCATCTCATTGGTATGCTACTGTATGATAAGTTATAGTGGCTTGCATCTAGGCTCACATTTGTCATTTGCATTTCAGTGTCTAAAATAATACACAAGGTGAATTTTGCTCACTGTTGTAGTTTTCAGGGAATTTTGCGTTTACGTGGTAGACCAACAGTTGCATATGACCAACAAGGCCTTGTCTTTGCGGTGGCAATGGAAGGGGGTGCTATTAAATTGTTTGATTCACGTTCCTATGACAAGGTTCTTACCTATAAAGTACTAATTTATATTTTTGGCACATTGTTATCAAGAGTTTGATTTATCTCTTCAAATATAGGGTCCATTTGACACTTTTTTAGTTGGCGGAGATATGGCAGAGGTCTGTGATATCAAATTCAGCAATGATGGCAAATCAATGCTATTGACAACCACAAATAACAATGTCTATGTTCTTGATGCCTATGCAGGGGAGAAGGTTAGTTACTCTTGTTGATCAAGTTCTTTGGTTTGATTGCTCTTAGTTGACTATTAAACATGGTTTTAAAGCCTGTAAGATACCTATATAACTTTGCCTCTTGGGTATGGAAATAGTAGTTACACTTATATGTTGAGTTTTTATTTATGCAGCGTTGTGGGTTTAGTTTAGAACCATCTCCAAATACAACTATAGAGGCAACTTTTACCCCAGATGGCCAGTACGTGGTCTCAGGTATCCATTTCTCCTTCTTGCTATATGAAATAAACTAAACCATATTATATCTTTATATGATACTGGTCATGTAAGCGTTGGGCCAACTGCTCTTTGTAAGTTGGCAAGAAGCAGTTACCAAGGTTCCATGATGAGTGGTGGGATATTACCCTAATGTTATTGTATTGATGCATGTATAAATTTCATGGCTGATAGTTGGTTTTAATAGTAATATTCGACAACTATGAGATTAAGTTTCTGAAATGTTTGAAAAGGGAGCTTGACTCTATTCGATTGTTGGAGTCCTCCATCTACATGTTAAGCATGTAAGGCTACTAGTCTGGTTAATGATAAATTGCTCTCTTGTGCTTTGATTAATGAATGCTTCCATGACTATTGCCATGAGGAACAAATACAAAATTACTTTTGCAATATAAGACATACCTTGATGCAGTTGCAAATATCTATTCGGGATGGTAATTACCACAAGTTGTTGTTGGGATATGTATTGGTAAACGGTCCTAAGATTTATGGTCTAAGAATGGAAACTAGTCCATTTAGTTCCTTTGCAGTGCAGCCTAGTTTGGTAGGGCTAAATATCATATTTAGCTGCAGTTTTTATTGTCATTTTGTCAGAGTCAAATTTATTACTTGTTTTATGGTAACTGCTCTGTTAGATGTTATTGCGAACCCATTCCATGGCTTATGTGGTTTTTACATCAACTATCAACTATCAACTATCAACTATCAACTATCAACAGTGCTGGTTACTGGTTATATCAATTTCTATTAGTTATTATAGTTAATTCTTCTTTTTCAGAAAATGGCAACAGCAAATTTTCGTTGATATTAGTTCAAATCACTTTATTTTGCCTGGAAATGTTATAACTGACTTGTGTATTTTCATGTTGAAGGGTCAGGAGATGGTACCTTGCATGCCTGGAACATAAACATGCGAACTGAGGTATCACTCTTTCCTAAAAGAAGAACTTGCATTAGATTTTTGGAGCTTCAATTGACTTCAAACTTTCTATTTTTCATTTTTGGGCATTGTCACAAAATAAAAATTACTTTCGGTACATTTGACTGGGTTATGCAGTATGCAATAGTCCTCCCATTACACACACACCCCTTGCCAGCCCATTCCAAGGACCAAAGTTTTAGACCACCAACTCAGAAGTCTCAAGCTCTAACCATTGGGAGTCCCCCTATAGGACACAATACAAATTTATTGGCTTCATACAACCTGTTTCTTCTCCTAAAGTAAATGAAAAAAGGAATAAAACTGTTAAATAGAAAATTCATTTAAATCCATTTCCAACCTACTCTTGTTGACTAACAATACAGTGGTAGCATTCTTTTCCAGCAAATCAATTTTCTAGGGATAAAGCTAAGTGAAAGTTGGTAGTTAGTCTAAAGGGCTTCTTTTTCTCCATCAAAAATGCCATGACAAATTAGAACCTTTCCAAAGAAATCAGATAATTGATTTTGTCTTCTCTATTAAGGGAGAAGAATGCATTGATCTTGTTTTTCCTTTGAATTTACTCATACATGTATCTCTTATTTTAGTCTGTCTATTATCATGTTCTGTGAATCATAGACTGAGTTGTTGAAAGGGCTGTTAAAGAAATGGCTATAACAACATATCTGTCGGGTTGCAAATGAAGATAGTTCAGTTTACATATGTAAAACATGTAACAAGCTACTTTAGCCTGGTGGTTGATGTATCTAACTCCATAGTTTTTGTTTCCTCCATAGGTGTCATCTTGGAACAGCCATATAGGCGTTGCAACATGCTTAAAGTGGGCTCCCCGTAGGGTCATGTTTGTTGCTGCATCATCTGTTCTCACATTTTGGATACCCAATGATGATTCAAAATCAATTGCTGCACCTGCTTCTGCTGATGCACAAGCTCAATCCGAGCAATTTACACAATGAAAACAAAGATCTTTCTCGTTTAAATCAGCTGTGGCGCGCATCGGTCAAAAATATAAACTCTTATCTACCATTGTAAGATCAATAGTTTGTGCCTGAATTTGAGTCTGTTGTAAAAATCTTCCATTTTAGTTCAATGCATATTCACTTCACTACCTTCTAAAGCATTATGGTTCGATTTTGATCTCTGCTTTGGGTATGCCCAATACGTCAATCTAACTTCTAACATATGTGAAGTGAGCGCAGCAAACCAGTTGCTTTGGGCGGTTATGTCATATTCTTGAACAATTAAAAGGCCTAATACTGGTACGGTTATTAAGTCTCGTTTATTTTATCAATTATTTAAATAATTTAATGATAATTATATTTTAAAAATAAAAAATTTTAAATTTAAATCAATATACGAATAAAATAAAATAAAAAATGAAATAAGGGTATTTGTAATTATGCATTCTTGTCCTCTTTTGTTACGACGTGTGGATTGATGGACCACCCATAAAATATCTAAATCGATGGACCATTTTAAAGAATTGCCTGACCCCCGAAGTGTCTTAGATCAACATCAAGGACAGGAATCAGAATCACAGGACACTAACCACTATAAAGTTATAAAGAAGTGAACCAATTTGCTTCAGGTCATTTCGTTGCCTGCTTGATTGGACATAACCATTATGCAAAGCCTTATATACAGATTGTTTGATGTAGGACGGCCTCATCTAACTTAGGGCTATTGTTCTCTGGCCCACAACCCATATTGTACAATTTGTTGTAGCAAGCACCTTAATTTATCACTGCCAGTAACTGCTTAGCTCTTTTTGGTGGTTTTAAATAAAACAATGCTAAATTAGGAGTGAGTGATTTCGTATAATTTCAAAGTTATGAGATTGAATTTTAATAATTATAACCATTAATTATTAAATTAGATGACCATTAATTTCAAAGTGTTATAATGAGCACTCTTTTTATAATAACTTTTAAAATTTTGATTCTATTACCTAATGTTCAAATTTTGTTATAGGTAAGAATACTAAGTTTTGAAAAAACATTTCTTGTTACTTTGAGGTCCTATTTCCATTAAAAAATAAGTAAAGAGTTTGAGTTTCAATTAAGTTTACCTCATGTTTGAATTTTAGTTGCACATTCAAATAAGAGCAATATACATTCTTGTTGTATACCCCAATTGAATATATCATAATAAACTAGGGCAGTAACAACCATATATGAATCTGGAATGCTATATTTCATTATAAGCAGCATTACACCTATATACAGCTGGGGTTTGCTACCAGAAAAGGAAATAAAAGGAAATACAGGAAACTGTACAATGCCAATCAATGCTAATCAGTACAAAATATTCTTTTGACCATTCCATCCATAATCACCGCCTTATACCATCCATAATCACCGCATCACTGCCCTATACTCCCCCTCAAGTTGGAGCATGAACATCTCGAATGCCCAACTTGGATAGTAATGAGGCAAAGTGTTCACGACCCAAGGCTTTGGTAA